CTCCCCTCACTCCCACCACAGGAGAGGGTCTTTTCCCCTCCAAGAAAGGTGTCTTACCAGGTCAGAAACCCATCCTAGGGCTGGTACACCTGATGAGCCAAACACTTCTTCCTCATGCCCCACAATGATCCCTCCTTGCTTTGCTTTCCCACAGGTCCTCAAGTTGTTCCCCTTGTACCCTAGATACTCAGTCAGAAGGGGTGGGTCCCTGGCCATACTCATCAAAGTGACCTGGGCTTCAGAGGGGAGACCTTCCCATCTCTACATCATCCCCCTACACCCTCAGGCACCTGATGAATTATGGTTCCTGATCAGCCTCATTATGTACATGAGCTCAAACTCTAAGCATATGATCTCTGCTCTCCCCCCAGGATGGGGACAATATGGTGCTGGTGGGGGAGGACAGAGAAGGGGCTCAGGAGACCTCACTCAGCCCCAGGGGAATTGGAGGTGTAGACTGCTCAGGGTCCACATTTCTGTGGTCTACTGAGGGCAAGAGTGGACCAGGGGTGGGTAGGGCTGAGGTACCCAGGAGGGAGTAGCTCAGGTGGGTCTGATTGAAGTTTGAGGGTGGTAGCATATGAGTACCAGAGCACCCTGTGTCAGGAGCTCAGGCTAGGCACTGGCCCAGGAGGTTAGATGAGGAAATATAATGGAGTCTTCACAGATAGGCCCCATACCCCACCAAGGCCAGGTTTCCAACTTATAAATGGACCAGTCTGCCCCCAGTGGTTCCCCCCTAGGTTGTGATAAGGTCAGGAGAAGAATAATGCCAATGCAAGGAAAATGTTCCCAAATGCCACTGTCTGCAGTTTCTGCTCTCTTCTAGCTTCTAGCCCTCAAGGCTCCAAGCTACTTGGGATAGGGCAGCCTCTAGGACTGGAGCAGGCAGGGAGAGCAGTTATGAAGAGGGCTTTAACACTAGGATCACCCCAGCTGCAGGTGTTGGGGGCAGCTCAGAATCAGCTCAGGGAGGCCTGAGGAGGGGTAGCTTCGGTGGGGACCAAGGCTGTCAGCCTGACAGTGGTAGGTCCATGGCAGCATTGGCAGCAGGGTCAGGGCTCTGCTCCAAGCATTCTCCTGACCAGTGAGAGCCAGGCATGGAACTGGAAACATGGGTCCTCTCATGCGCATTTGAAGGTGAGCAGTGGTGTGAGGGTCAGGACTGGGTGTGGGCCATGGAAGGGGGAGCCCCCTGCTGGCTCCTTCCTGCTCCTCCAGGGTCTGCCCTCTCTCTAGAACTCTACACCTAACCCCACTGCCACCCCACCTGTGCACCTCTCTAGAATGCCCTGTGCCAAGAAGTGTCAGCAGGAAGTAAGAGGCTGAGGAAGCAGGTGAGAAAAACTGGATCAGGACAGAGCTGCTGGAGAGCTGGCAGCCTTGGGCAGCAGTGAGGCTGCCAAAAGGATGCCTGGTCAGCACTTCTCTGCCTGCCTGCCACACTGGGCAAAGCCCTGCTCTGGCCCAGCTCCCCACTGCCCCAGGCTTGTCCTGTCTACTCTCTCAGGAGGAGGAGCGTAGCCTGAGGAGGAGCAGGAGCAGCACCCTGGAACAGGAGTCAGGAGCTCAGGCCCAAGCCCCAGCTGTGCCACAAGCCAGCTGTGACAGCTTTGTCACTGCGGGGTACATGGGGGTGAAGGTGGTAAAGGGCCTGAAATCACTTCGGTCCCTTTTGATACTGGGGATCAAACTCTGGACCTTGTTCTTGTGATGCAGGCGGTGGAACCACTGAGCTAAATCCCCGACCACTTCGGTCCCATTTGAAGGGAAGAGAACACAACTTAGGAGTGAAAATGATTAACAAGAGAAATTCAAATCCATTGCCATTTTTACCATCAGACTTGCCAGCCATGCTATGGGTCAAAAGGAGGATCACAGTGGGTCAAGGCCTCGCCTAGAGGAAAAAGACAGGTTCACTGAGCAAGGATTCCATCTTGGTTTTTTTTTTTTTTTTTTTCCTTTTTTTCTTGCAGTACTGGGGATAGGACCCAAGGTCTTCACACTGAGCTCCATCCCCATCCCTTTTTCATTTTTATTTTGAGATAGAAGCTGCCCAGGTGGCCTTGAACCTGCAGTCCTCCTGCCTCAGCCTCCCATGTAGCTAGGATGACAGATATGCACCACTGCACCCACAAATCTTTGTTTTGCTTTGGTTTGCTTTGGTTTAGTTTTTGAGACAAGGTCTCACTAAATAGCCCAGGCTGGCCTCAAACTCGTGGTGATCCTCCTGCCTCAGCCTCCTATGTGCTCCTGGGCATCACACCTGGGGGCGTTTTGGGAGAAGAAAGTCTGTCTGGAATTTATTTTGGTTTTAGCTACCCTTAAAATCCCCATCGGGGGGCCAGGGATTTAGCTCAGTGGCATCGCAGCTGCCAAGCAAGCAAGGTCCTGAGTTCCATCCCTGGTACCAAAAATAAACAACAACGACAACAACAACAAAATCCCCAACTGGCTGGGTGTGGTGGTGCACGGCTGTAGTCCCAGCACTTGGGAAGCTGAGCCAGGAGGATCGCTATGAGTTCGAGGCCAGCCTGGGCTACATAATGAGATCCTGTCTCAAAAAACAAGCAAACAAACAACAGGAAACAAAACAAGAAAAGAAAGAAGAGCAAAGGGAGAGGGTGTTTTCTAAGTCCAGAGTCCTGATGGCCAGGCCAAGCCAGCTTCTGCCACCCTGAATTGGTCGGTCCTGTCAGGGCAGGGGTGGCAGCAATGGGGACAGGAAGCTCTCAGGCAGGTGCTAGGGTCATAAGTGGGGTGGGAAACGCCATGGGCCCAAGAATGGGACTCTAAGTGTCTGGAGGCCAGCACAGAACTGTTGGGGGGGGGGCTCCCCTGCTGGCCACATCCTTAATACCCCTGACCACACACTGAGCTGTATGCCTGGTGACCCTGGGCAGGTGCCCCCGGGTGGAAGTGTTTAACTCTTACTCATCTGCTGAAGCCCCAGCTCCAGTGCCTGCTACTTTGGAAAAGTGTCCTCAGCCCAAACCCCTTTGCGGAAGTGCTAGCTGTGCAGGGTTGGAAAGTCTGTCCTCGAGGGTGGATGCGAGGTTGTGGGTGCTGGGGGCCACCTGAGGGAGGTTAAGCTCAGTAGCACGCCCTCAAGAATGAGGCACACTTGAGTAACAGCCTCCTGCCCACAGAGCCCTGAGGCAGTGCCTCCTCCTGCAGCCCCCCCCCGTGCTGCCTCAGGGCCTTTGCACGGCTGTTCCCTCCTCAGCCTGCAGCCCCCTTGGTCCCTGACTCTGCAGGGCTGGCAGCTCCTTCTCCTTCAGACTGCCATTCAGACAAAGGGCACCCTCAACCTCAGTCTCTTATCTCGCCCTCACCTCTCCTCTGCTGGTTCTCTCCTCAGGTCTCCCATAGGGTGTTTACGTGTTTACTTTTGTTTTTGGAGACTGGATCTCACTGTGTAGGCCGGTAGGCTGGGCTGGGGTTAAACTCACTTGAACCTCCAGCTAGCCTCCTGCCTCAGCCTCCCAAGCCTACACTCTCTCCATCTTGGTCTTTACCATCCAGGAAGCTGACAGACCCAAGTCTCAGGCATAAATTGTCCACACTATTTTCTCACAGGCAAATGTTCAGGGCCTGAGTTACCTCAAGCATAAAATAAACAACATCCTGGAGCTGAGGATTCAAAGCATGGAAGAGTTTTAACTGCTACATCCAATATCTGTACAAAACCTGGAAAAGTGGATGATGATTGTTTCAGGGAGCTATCATTCCTTTATTAACCTATACAGCTGTACTTGGCAGTGCCCACTTAAGAGCTTGGTTAGTGCTGAGTGCTATTCCTGAGCCTAAATTGACTCCAGTTCTGGAACAGCATTTCCTACAGTGCTTTCTCTGGAAGTTCTGCTGGCTTCCAACCACAGCTGAGTCATTCAGAGTTCACAGGAAGAGTGGGATGCAACTACTGCAATTTGAGCCCAGCAACCAGGAAAGGGAGGTTCAGAGACCCTGGACCATAACAGGAAGGACAGCAAGCAGGTTAGTGGCTCAGACCTCCAGACCTGGACCATGTTACCCCTTCATTAGCCACCTCTGATAAGCCCTATTTGTTCAGGGGTCCTACGTCCACAAGCAATGTCAATACACTGCCACCCCCATATTGTGGGCACCTATAGAAGCTAAGTATGGAGAAAAGACTGATAATTACCCCTTCGGACCCTGTCCCCCAAAAGTTATTATCTGTCCATCCCAGCCCTGACCAAGAGGGATGACGGAAACACAGAGGGACATCTAATCACTGAACCCTGGGGCCAGACTCTCAACAGAATTCCCATAGTAACTGTCTTTTCAGTTGTTCCCAGGCCACTATCAGCAGGAGACCTCACTAATCCCCTACTCAGTTCTGGCCAACACCTCCCAGCCCACACACCAGCTAAGAGATCCCCAGGAGCCCCACCCCCAGTGCTCCAAGAGCTCAGATCTCTGAGCCTCCTCATTTCCACATAAAAGCAACAGCTCAGGACCCTGTGGCCTGACAGCAACACATTTTGCAGCCTTCTGGGGGTGACAGATAGCTTGCTCTTCACATCACTATTTCAAACATTAACATAATCTCCCAGGATGAATGTGCTTGCTGGTGTCTAATCAATCACCCATCCTGCACCTTGATCCCTCATCCCAAGGCAGAATGCAGGCTTGCCACTCCTCACAGGCTACGAGATCCCAGGCTTATTTCCCCAGACTTGTCTAACCTGGCTATCCTATCATTTTGGGTTTAGTCCCTTGGGCTTCCCCATACCCTGTAGCCACTGGCCTCTCAAGGACCTGGGGTCCCACCCCAAGCACTGCCTCAAACACAGACCCCATCCACAAGGGAACCTGGAAAGCCCCAACACCCTCCCAAAGACAAGAGTGTCTGAGGGTCACTGCTCCAACAGCTACCTTAAAAAGCACAGACCAAGATCTCAACAATGCCAAATCTTCCACACTCCTGACCCACTTGGAAGAGGGTCCCCAGGGGAAAGCAGGTACACCAGGCTTACCTCACGGAGCTGCTGAACGCCTCCAAAGATCCGCATCACACCATCAATCTCCTGTTCTAGGCGCCGGGCCCAGTGCTGCATCCTGTGTGCAGACAGGAAAGAGATGTCAAGTCCACTTGAAGCTAGGACAATCCAGCCCCTGCCACCCAAGGGGGACCAGGGCAGCCGTTCATTCAACTCAATTTTCACTAGAGGAGAAACAGAAGCAAGAAACCAGAGTGTGCCTGTGGTTCTCCTTTGAAGTCCAGCCCCGGGGGCCTGGCCTCTCCTCACGTACTGTGTACTGTCGGCCAGCCAGAGAGGAGAGGGGAGTGTATTGTGAATGTGCTGAGGAAGTTCAGCAGCTCCAAGAAGCCTGCAGGGAGGCTACTTTTCACTGTGAAGAGCCAGCCCTTGATGTAGCTGCTCCGAACACAGAGACTTCTGGACACCAAGGAAGAAGAAGGCAGGATGGAGCCAGGGGGGCCTAGGGAAGGGAAGGGAACTCGGCTGTCACCACCAAGCTATGATATAAGCCTGGACAGGTCTCTGCCTCTTTGGCCCTCATCTGAGCAGTGGATATGGAGAGCTCCTGGCTCACAAAACCCTCTGCTTGACAGTATCCTGGTAGATAGATGCTCATCTGAGGCCCATTGCTAGAGGCCCAGTATAAACCCAACCACAGGTCCAGTGCAGGTCCATCCTGCCTCTTGCTGGGGGCTTAACAAGCCTCACAAATGCTTCATCTGAGTCATACACCTAAGCAGGTCTCCCTGGTGCCATCCTAAGGTCATTTTAATCCATCTGTGTCTCAGCTTCCTTTTCTGTGGGTGGGAATGAGAGGCTTATTTGGGGCCACCTCTGAGGGTATCACAAGAACACATGAGAATAGGCAATTCAAGGGTACTGCTCAGGGATATTTGTGAGTGGTCAGGATGGACAGGTGGCCACATGGCTATGGACTCTCCACTCCACACCCAGGAAAAGGGAAGGTATCTGGGGATAGCCCTTAACTGGGTTCAAACCTGTGAACTTCTCCTTCAGACAGTGTCAGATGCTCTCTGTTGTGAACAAGTCTCCCTGCCCTCGTGTGCCTGAAAAGGTACCTCAACTTCCCCTTCCCCTGACATACTATTCTGCAGGCCAAGACCTTTCTAGGGAGGGCCTGCAGGAGAATTGCCATAGAGACTGAAATATATGAAAGGTCGAGCAGAGTGCACAGGGCACAGGGCACAGCAGGGACAAAATGATGTTTAGAAGGTTGCATCTGGCCCCAACAGCCCTTCCTGGGCCTGCCATCTTCCTTAGCGTCACTTGAGACCAGGACAGTCTTCTGGCTACCTGGGTCAGAAGTGTACAAGCATTCACCCTGGCCCCCTGCTCCACATCCCTCCTCATGCCATTGGCTGGGGGGCTGGGCACATGCCATTGTGTGTGCCTGGGTCGGTTGGCATGGGAACTCAGAGCAGGAGGCAGGCGGATCACTAATTGCAATTTGCCAAGCTGAATGTCAGGACCACGATGGGAAAAAAAATCAACATCAAAAGATAGAGGTATTAGCTTTGGCTTGTTGCTGCCTGAGCCACAGCCTGATTCCCACCTCCGCTACCCACCACAGGGGAGACTAACCCTGAGTCCAGATGGAGGCCAGGCTGCAGGATGGAGTAGAAAGGGCAATCAGGCTTCAGCTGCCAACCTGGGGAGGGCAAGGCATAGCCAGAGAATAGAGAGTTGCCTTAGCTGGCCACTGTCCACCAGGAGTCAATGTCTTGGTCCTGGCTGTGGGAAGACAATGTGGCAGGTGGATCTTTTGTCATTCTGAAACAGCAGAACCCTAGTGCCTAATATTAGGGTGGACTGCCACCTAGTCCTGTGTCCAGCTGGGCAGGTGGCAGACAAATAAGCAAGGTCAAGGATCTGATCTCCAAAGGGAACATTAGCTCTGCTCTGGCCCTGACCTCGGCCATTCACTAGTCCAGAGGACAAAGCATTAATCATAATCCTTCCTAGACTAAAATATACAAGGGCATCCACTACATACAAAATACAGTGGCAGTATATCACATGTTCTTTCACATCAACTCTCATAAAGATAGCAAACATTACCATCCCAACTTACAGGCAAGGAAACTGAGGCACAGAGAGTTTAATTAACCTGCCCAAGAATCACCTGTCCAGGAAAAGGTTGACAGGACTTGTCTCAGAAGTGTTCTTGGAGTCACAAGGCTGATATACACGTGCTGTCCAGTGTACTTAGTCTCAACTTGGCATTCAGTGCCATCATCTTGGGAGCATAAAGCTAACCACAGTGGGAACATTTACATCTCAAAAATTGGTAAATGCAGGGGCCGGGGATTTAGCTCAGTGGTTTCGCCGCCTGCTGTACAAGTGCAAGGACCCGAGTTCGATCCCCGGTACCAAAAAATAAAAAAATAAAAAATAAAAAATTGGTAAATGCTAAAAATCACAGGTTTTTCTCTCTTGAGAGCAAACTGACATTTACCAGAACACTAATTCTACCTCAGGCCATGAACTCTCTTCTATATATCTATAGGTCTCCACTTCTGGGATTTCACAGATAAGTACAAGGAAATTAATTGTGAGAACAGACACAGATGCCAAGTTTTTATTTTGTGCAGATAACACATTATTAATATAATCACCATCATTTCATGTAAAAAGGCTGTTTCAACACTAAAATAATTTTTAAAAATTATTAGGATATCAGGATGAAGTCAAGTTCTTCCTCTAGACATACATTCTCTCTCTCTCTCTCTCTCTCTCTCACACACACACACACACACACACACACACACACACACACACACACACATAAAGTCTCTATACTCTCAACCAGGCTGAGCCACTCTGGACTTGCTGTGGGATATAATGGACTCAATGTGACACACATACCATCCCAGGGTCTAGGGGTGGCCCTAGCTGAGTCTGGCATCCTGGGCCTGATAGGCACACTGCCCATCAGCATAATGCCAGGGAAGACAAGTTACTCTGATTCTCTGCCTAAATCAAACCCAATTAAGAAGGCAATATGTGTGTCCTAGAATTAAAAAGAATATGATAGACAATTGGAGAATTGATTTCACTGCCACAGAAATATGATTTTGTGGGTTCTAGGGTTTGGCCAGTGTCCCAGGGTTGGCTCTAGAAAGTGACACATGGGCACTGAGGAGGCCAGGGAGTAACTATGCCTCCACAGTGTTCCTGACTTGAGACTGAGGAAGGCACCTTGCAAGCTAAGTCCAACCTAGCTAGGCACAACTAGGCTCACTTCCACAGAAAGGCATGGTGGCTTTGGAAGAATGAGAGATACATCAGGATTTGTGGCCCCACTGAGTCAAAGCCAAACTGACCAAATCTTGCCCAGGCTCCTACTGAGTTGGGCCCAAGTTCCTGGCTTTGCCAATGCCTCCCAGCCAGACAGTGCTGTCCATGGGTCAGGCTCTCAACAGAGAGGTCTACCTGCTAGATACCCTCATCCTAGTGATTTTCCATTCTCCTGCAGAGATGACACTGCTTATCTCTAAGTGCTTTTAAGTGCCAAATTAGCAAGACAGTGAGGGGAGAGTGCCTGGCAGAAGACAGTGCAGCCAGGGGATACAAGCTGCGTTTCCTAACTGGTGTATGCCTGTGAGAGGCTGGAGACAAGTCCTCCGGTGTGCCCAAACCTAGGGTGGAAAAGGCATTTCAGCCCATCTCACAGACCAGAACCCTGAGCTGGCAAGGGTGGGTGCAGGGTCCTATAGAGGAAAGCCAGACCCATCTCCCTGGCTCCATCAGGCCTACAAGCCCATCCTTCCAGGAGAGTGTAGCTTTGGGAAAACCTCAGGGGAGAGGCCACCTCTGCTAGCTGTGTGACCTTGGAACCTGGTCTTCCCATGGGTCAACAGGATTAATGGTGAATGGCTAAATAGCTGTAATGGACAGATATTGAGTCGCCTGAGGACTAGAAGCTCATCCAGTACAACCTTGTTCCTCCAAGATCCAAGGGCTCCCTGAGTGCTCAGGAAATTGTCGATAAACTCCTATACCTGGGGGGGGGGGATGGGGTGCTTCGGAGAAGGCCTGGCAGGCTGAGGTAGCCCTGCAGGAAAGAAGATGAAATCATGTGCTGTGGATGCCAGGCCTTGGTCTCCAGAACCAAGGGGAATGGGGACGGGGAGGGGTGTACCTGCAGATAAGGGAGCAAAGTCGCCCCCACTTATGGGGCAAGTTGCTGAGGCTGAGGACCCTTCTAGTGGCAGAACCACTGAGACCCCAGCTACAAGGTGGGGAGATCCTGAGTGGAACTGCAGAGCACTTAGGTGGGGGCAGCCAGCTGCAAATGCTCACCCAGGGAGGGGGTGGGCAGGGAGAAGATGGGAAAGGAGAGGACTGGAGGGGAAGGAGAAAGAGCCCATGTGCAGATGTGGCAGCATAGATTCAACTGTTGCCAGTTGTTAATTTTATATGTGAAGTTGTTGATCAGAATGTGATTTAATTGTACAGCATAATCCAGGCTTTTGGAATAAATTATGCAGAAAACCCATCTATAATTAAACAAATCGAAAAACCAGAGACAGGTGACACTGCAGGTTTACCCTCAGAGGGCATGGATGGGTGTGGGTGGCTGGACCTAGCAGAGGGGCGAGGAGGAAAGGGAAAGGAGCCTGTTTAGAGTAGGCAGGGGTAGGTTCAGGAGAGGGTGGGCCTGGCAGGCTGTTCTCACCACACATGGAAGCATTTTTGCCATCAAAGCTCTGCAGCCTCTACCAGGCAGCTTGTCTGGATATACCCTGTTCCTCCAGGGGCCTACAACTCTCCCCTGAGCTTACTAGGACAGCTACTGTGTGTGGGGTGGGGTGGACACTGAAGGTGAGATGGCAGGTGAAGCAGGAGGGTGGGTGCTAGGCCAAGACCTGGCTGGGACAGGCAAGGGGAGTAAGGGGGCAGCCACAGCAGAAGGCCCTTGCTGCCAAGGGCACAGTGAATCAAGCTTGGCAATGGTGGGGGCCCCGGGTCTCTTGCTTCTCTCTTCAGAGGCTAGCCAATTATTGTCCCAGCTCTTGGTGAGGAATGATTTAAAATAAAGTGCTATTGCTATTT